GCCAGAACTCGCGCCCCAGAGAAAAATGCCATATAAGGTTAGATACAGGAACATGGAAAAAATGTTAAAAAAAAATTATTTATAATAATTTCGAAGTTAGGAGGGTTTAGAGTTTGCATTTTGACTATTTATTTCTGTTGTAAAAATAATTTTCCAAGTTTTTTTGCTATAGGCTATTAAAAGAGGAAACAAGGAAGCTGTATCCTAAATTGTGACTGTGTTCAATGTTACGTATTTGTGGCTTTTATTGGCATAATTTTTGTCCTTTTACTAAATAATTTTAAAAAAACATATACAAGATCATCAGTATTCTTAAATAGATATAAAAAAATGTCAAATTTTTTTGACAGATAGACTATTTTAAACATTTTTTTCATGTTCCTGGTATCTTACCTTACTTGAAAATTTTCTCTGGGGCGCGAGTTCTGGCGCACCCTGTATAGAATATAGAACCGTGAACTTCTGAATTCTAAAATCTAAGCATTTTTCTTTTTGAGTTTTTATTTCTGTACCCTAGAGATTTAAATTATTAAAAATTCAAGTGAAATTTATGAAATTTTAACAAAAAAAAAACAATAATATATCGATAACTTTTTCAACTTTTTAGTAGAACTTTGGTGAAAATTTCGATCCAATAAACTTTGACAAATATTTGTACGTTTGTTCCACTTTCGAATTAAAAAAATTAATCGTTGCTCTTAGTTATTGGGCATTCCACTCTACTGGGTTGAATTTTTATCAGCGGCATGCATTCATTTCTCGCTAATAGTGTCGATTTTTCGCGTTTTAACGCAATACAAATCTGAAATCAATACCCCGTTTGGGTTAACGGACACGTCGTTTATCTGGACCCAACCATTAATGACGTAGCACAAATCTTCGGAGGTAGTTTTATCATCGTGTCAACACCAGTTGCCACCAACAATACAACGCCCATCTTTCTTTCCTTCTTTTCAACCACTACCACAACAATTAGAAAACAGGCATTCTTGCCCACATTTGCAAAATGAATAGAACGAAATCAGATACGAGCAGAAATCCACGAATGAGTGAATGGAACAAGTTCACGAAAGGCAAAACTCTTTTTATTTACTTTAAATGAAAAGTTGAAAAGAGAATGAGACGACGCGCTTTAGCGAGCTTTTCCAGAGCTTACACAAAAGCAGAAATGCGACCGCAACCTTTTCACCAGCGAATGCTACGAAGAGATTCACAAGCGTAATTATTATTAACATGGATGGAACCACTTCCAAGAATTTGGAAGCAAAAAGCACAGTGGGGTGCACACAACGCGGTGTATTACTCAAAACACAAAGTGTTATAATAGACGAAAAACAGTCAAAGGGGATGCTGGACTGTTTACGAAATATGTTGTTTTAGTGTATTGTGTAGACTAAATTAACTTAAATGATGTGCACCTGTGTTTTTTCTTTTGCATAATCTAGACATGAAATGTTTTCATGCATTCTTAACAAAAAAAATTGTGATTTCAGACAATAAAAGACTTCCACTACCTGTTGTATTTTAATTTGAACGTTCTGATCCATCAATATATCAAAAAGTTGTTCGATTTATCATTCAAATTCTTCCTCGGATCGCACCCCTTGTATCTCTTTCCGGTGGTGTATAAATCGCACCCCGGCGTGCAAGATTGAGGGCATTACCGCGTGGTTGAAAGGAATGCATGTTAGAAATAGCAGAGATGCTAAACTACCGGACTATGTAATGGTCCTCATTCGCTGGCTTCTCTCGGATTATCTATCCACAGCAAAGGCCTCTCTTCTACCGGAATGTAGCACATCCCGTCTTGAGAATCCGCAGCTCATAATTGCCGAAACGGATTTAATTGTTCGCATGAAAAGTAAGCATTTGCGGTATTCCGGCCCTTTGTCTTGTATCGAAGCCACCAAGAATCTAATAATAAATTTATTGTCGTTGGCGCTTTGGACGGTTTTTCCTACTCGTTTAATTAATGTTGGGAAATGGAGATGACAGGTAAAACTTAGGTAAAGATTTTCAATTCAACTTTGAAGGTCCTTAGGCGGTTTGCAAAAAATTTACGAAAATTTTGTTTCTTGTGACAAGAGGAGAAAGATTTATTGATTAAAGAACAAAACAAAAAATAAGAGAATAATGAGATCGAGTTTCCTTTGTAAAAGGAGCAACGGTGTTCATTAATCCAAATTATGTACACCTATATGAAACACGAGGTGTTGGAAGATTAAAAGGTTTTTTATTTTATTTTTTTAATTTTTTTTTTTCTTTGGAATCATTTGATTTCAGTGGCGGAATCCAATCGTGCACACGTTGTCAATTTTCCAGCAGCTTCCGCTTTTCCTCACTCGAGACACGCTTGTGCTTTCTATTTAATTTATTAAATGCGTAACACACGGTCTAAAAGCCGTCGAATCGTCACTTATTGCTTTCCGGCTTCTTTTGCATTAAAACTACACTGGAATTCTTCAGGGTTCTTGAGTGAAAAACAATATTCCCGAACGTCCTCTGACAAGGCGGGGGAATTGCCTGCTGTCACTTTGGACCACCTGAGGGGGACTGCAAGCTCATTCTTTCGTGGTCGATTTCGCTTTTACGGTTATGGCAGATTACGGCGGTAATTATGCCCGGGTAATAGTGTGGAAGATGAAATGTTTTCAGCTGCAGGTTTTAATGGACGATTGAAGTGATACACTGAATTCGAGACTGAAAACGGAAACAGTCATGTGCTTTGCTCAAAATTTCAAGTCTTTTCAAAAAACTTAATAAATTCTAATTTTTTGCTTAAAGAATGCTAGAATGTGGAATTCTACAGTGTTCCGTCTAAACCCCACATTAGAAGTATTGGGAGTTCGAATAACCGTATTTATTTGAAAATTGGTACATAGCCATAATGCATAATTTTTTACTGTGTTTTTGGATTAATCGGGTGATTTTAAAGGAGTTATCATCAGCTATCCCCATACCTAAATTTAGCCGTTTCTGAAATATTTGGAGTTTTTCAAAAAATTTTGGTTCTACACCTTCCACTTTAAAAATCGGTAACTCTGCCATTTTTTAAGATTTTGAATTCGTTTTTGGCGTTTGAAAGAGAAAGTTTAAATCTATCTCCCTTAAAATAACCCGGTTAATCCAAAAACGCAGTAAAAAATAAAGCTTTCCTTTTAAAATAAGAAAGTTGAGACCGACTTCCGGTATAAGCGGAAGTGTCGCTTCATTTAGAAGGACTTAATAGATTACGGCTATGTACCAATTTTCAAATAAATATGATTATTCAAACACCCAATACTTTTAATGTGGGGTTTAGACGGAACAGCCCTGTATAGAATTTAAATAAATATCAGGAAAAAATTGAGGGTTTTTAATTAATTTTATAATTGTTTTACGCTACAAAAAATTTATTTATAGATAATTACGCATATATTAGACTATTTTGTACTTTTGGGTGTCCCAAGCATAAAATCCCGCTGTAATCACAAAGTTTTATCGCCGTCCCATATTTAAATGATCTGAAATCGTTCGTGAATAGCTCAATCTGTTGAACTATAGAAATTTATTATTTATTGCTATTACATGACTCGAGAGTGGAAGTTTAGTACGTGTCGATATGATGAACAAGTAATTTAAGTTCCAAAACTTCACATCAAGCAATTTCACTGTAATCCTCTCGCTTGAGAGAAAATCGTTTTCTAAGATTTGCGCTGCTTGAGATCTTAGGGAAACTCGGCGAGAAAGGTATTAACCCTCAGTATCAATACGTCAATAAGCAAGGAAAATATTCGCGTTTTTGCTAATCCCAGTTTGTCTTTTGAACGACTTTGTGTGTTCTTTTCGAGTCTCGAGCTATGCAAACGACCTTAATATTTGTATTGAAAATTGATCTAGCGCTCCAACTTTCGACGAGGATGAATATGGTAAACGCCGCCGCATTAAACTTTAACAGTTTCGAAATAGAACACACCTGGATGCGCCTCAAAAACAACCTTTCAATATTTAATTAGTTTCTGAGCAATTTTTTCACGAATGCGAGGCAATCAATTGACTGCGAAATTAAATACATTTTTTAAATACAAATTTTTATTACGATAACTTTGGCTTCATTTGTTGGCTTA